GGATAGAGAAAGGTGGAAGGTGTTTGTCCGTGGCCTATACCCTGGTTCAGGGTGAGGAAGGCAATGATGATGACTTTAGTCTTAAATTAAATAGATTTCTATTATTTTCCCAGGTTTTGTGGATGAGATGACCGCTCGTATCTCTCAGTCTGGGGTACAGGAGGTGACCATGAAGCAGCTGAAGGTGGAAGCCAGTTTCGGGGCCGCAGCTCTGGGTGCAAAAGCATGTGGTGTGGAGCTACCGCTGGACTACAACGCCAATGCATCTGTGATGTATCATAAAAAGTTTTAATGCTGTAGATGTCTTTTTTTGCAAGGTCTTATTCTCTCGAGAAGCGAAATCCATGAGTTTTTATTACGTTAAGGTGAGTGAAGGTTTTGTACTGAACTGATGGACTTAATTGTGAAAAGTCTCAGCTAATTATCTCGGCTTGGGATTTACTGTGTCCAGGAATTCTGAAGATTTGATGGTTTCGAAAGAGTTTAAACTGGGTTCGTAAGAACAGCAGTACTAAAGGGATCAACTATGCAAATATAACAATATTGTACACGTTTGATATGGTGATATTGAAAGTCTTATTTGTTATTTTATGCAAGGTGAAATGTGACCAGAGATATTGTTACCATTAGTATCATACTGAAATTGGGGGGAATATTTTGTATATCTCCCTTTGCTTAAAGACTTGGAAGAGCACAGGGTTTTCCATCATTTTCTGTTTTTAAATAAATGAACAAATTTTAAGTTTTGCACCCATTTATTTTGAAAATTTCTGGATAAGCGATCAATACACAAATTGTTTGAGAAAACTTCCCGATTGCTCCAATGAGTTCTTGCCAGGGTCTAATTGGTCCAGTACCATGTGGTGTGCCATTACACTACCTTGACTACAGCTTTATTAACTCCATTTTCACATGTTTTCAGGGACAGACCACTTTTTCGTTTACTCATTTCTTTTACTTTACAATTTCCTTACAAAGGTTTGAGAGTTTTACTATATATGTATACACCTGAGAAAGAGCTCCTTTTTTTCCCTCAAGAGCTTTATTGTTACTGACCTATGACTTTCAATGAAGTAGAGGGATAGACCCATTTGCTCAACTTTTGTTGTCAGCTGTTCTTTTCATTAAGTGTGTTCCATTGTTGAGAGTGGTTGCAAGACTGATTAATGGATTGATACTACTTAAACTTAAAAGAAAGTTGTATATTGTGCCAGATACCTCGTTGTAATGTGAAGTTCAGGATTCATTTTGTTCCTATAGTTATGTCATTTATTCCTTAGTAAAGAATAATATACGCAACACAATTGTGTTTTTAAAAAATGTGAATATCGACATAGAGGTGTAGTACTTATGAGAAATGGTGTTTAGAAGGCCTGTCTATAGTGTTAGGTCTTTGGTCAACATTTTTTCCATAGTACAAATTAAGATGCTTGAAAGTACACTGTATTGTCTCTGCAGGCTCGATTTGTTGAAATCAACATGTCATTGAATGTATTATATTCATCACCAGAAGTCTTGTGTCACTGTTGTTGGAATTAAATTTTGCCAAGACTTTGGAGACTTTGGAGTAGGAATGTCTCAGTCTGGAAGTATGAAGACTGTCTTTGTCTTGCGTATATCTTTTTGTAGTAGAATGCAGTAAAAGGGAGTCTGTTCGGTGCTATTTTTTTGCTTTTCAGTGAGTATTAACTCACTTGAGCCTGTTTCATTTTATTTATGGGACACCCCGCTGGCCTGGTAGCCTAATCCCGTGTATTTACGAAATGCGCTTTATCAATCGATATCTTTTGTGTTTTTCGGTTACAAGCTACAGGAAGTGGCGAGCCAACAGTTGACCCACTTGTTTTGTTTTGCTAAAAATTTGGTGAAGTTATGTGTTATAATTTTTTAGCTGTAATGGACTAAGTCAGTCACCCCCACATTGTGATAATTGATTTTATTTTAAATTGGGCGCAAAAAAAATTGCGTAACCCCCAGACATTACCATTTCAAAATATTGATAAAATAAAAACTCTTTGGACCAATTAGATTTAGTTTTGTTTTTCTTTGAGAGCATTTCTTTCTTTATCTTGTTACATTTTTTTGATTATGATAGCTTTCACAGTCCTTTTGTGGTTAACGCTTCAATACATCCCAAAAGTGTGCGGCTGCAATGGTTGTTGGGTGAAAAATAGCTGAGGCTCAAGTGAGTTAAGACTGTCATCACCATTTTAGATATGTGCTGCGTTTTGAATAGCTGCTGTATGATACTTATTCTTAATTGTGAAAGCTTATGGGAAGCAGTAAATACTTATTTGAGGGCTTTGTATCTTTTTTATTATTATTTTGTCTCTGATTGATGCAGCTTTTGTGACTACTGTGCGTTAGGGAATCATTTGTTGTCGGTCTCTCTTTGCCGGTCTCTCTTGAGAGGTGGAGATGACCTCTCTCTCTCGCCCTTTTTAACTCCCAGTGGAGCATAGGCCATCAACAACATTTCTCCAGTGAAGCCTGTCCTGTGCATCCTTTTCTAGTTTTCCATGATGTCCCCTCCTTTTCCATTTCCGCTTGTGGTGGAGGTGATCACACACTTTTTATTGTGGTTCTCTTTAAGTCTTGATTTATGTGATATTCTGACATACGCTTTGATAATGATTTATTCTGTAAAAATCTCATGTTTTGTTTGGGCAGTATTTGTTGGGTTTATTCTTCAGAGGTGATAATGCACATCTATAGAGCTGCACATCTCACCATTGTGCCACGTTTCTATAGTATTATCTTTTTCTTGAGTATTCGATCCATGGTATACAACTGTCATGTTGTTTAAAGTTGTTTTTGTTGTTAGCGATCCAGTAGCATCTGAGCGTTAACTCTTCTGCATGATGCCATTCTGTAATGCTGCATGTCTGTTCTAATTGTTGTCTTGAGGAGTAGAGGCAATTAGATGTGTGGGGTAGTTTAGGAAGAAAACACCCCCTCAAATCGGTTAGTTTTCTACAGAAGAACAGATGATGTTCACTGCCTCTGAGGGGTAGTCACATAGTGGGCAGGCAGCACACTGCTTTACTCCAATTCGGTTGAGATGTTGATTGAGAAGTACATGTTGTGTTTTAAGTTTAAGGATTATGGATTGTCTAAACTCTAATGTACTGTAGATGAAACTCAGCTTGGCATACTGACTATATTATGGGCAGTCATGGGAGGTAGGATTGTCAATAGTACCCATTCCTACTTGCAGAGTATACTTCTTCTTCTTCTCGATCGCATCACACTTGAAGTCTGGTATCTGTCATAAATTGGGCCATCCTGCTCAGTTCATCTGTCGGCCCGTCTAGCTTCTCTTGCAGCGTCAGTGGGGTTGACCACGTTTCCTGTCTCAGGGCCCTGTGTGTCTTGCAGTGCTGAAGGATGTGTTCAACAGTTTGGTCCGCCTCTCCAGACTGGCATTTTGGTGATTGTACTAGTTTAAAATTGCAGAGTATAGATCCAAGTCATTGTGACTAGCTATGAAGACAACATCTATCATCTCATATAATTAGATCTGGTTTTTGGTGCCTGATTCTGTAGACCTGCTCTCAGAGGGCTAGTTTCTTTCACCAGAAAAAAAGTTACCTCAGTTTGATACATGTTTTACTTTATGACAGTTACAATCAAATGCCTTTTATGCTTTTTATCAATGTTCTGTGAAATTCTCTTGAAATAATTGTGCATTCCAGTTCTTTTAGTATCTTCTCTTGTGGTGTACATGTATCATGTGAATCAGGGATGCTACTTTTCCCTTTTTTTTCTCTGGTATTTCTGGTATTTTGATCCTTATCCGCTATTCCGTTATTGAGATCGATATGGAATCTATAGTTGGAAAAAAATATTTGGGTTTCAAATTGATATTCATATGTTACCGAGACCGTGGCGCGTGAATTTTCAGCTATTTAAAAAAAAGTTGAGTGGCATCCCTGGTGAATACATCATGAGTTCAGTGCCTGTTCTGGGAACAAGTTACCTCATTCTTCATGTTAAGAATTTTACCAATAACTGTAACCTTGCCAGGTATTATTATTTCTATTTGAAGATTAGTTAACCCTATCCGTACGCCCTGGGGTCATTTTGTACCCCCAGGTTTGTATTCTTCACATTTTAGAATACTTCTAGTTCCAAGATCTCTTTGAAACTTTCAGTGTTTCTCAAAAAATCATTTTGACAGACTGCTATGCAAAGTAGCAAAGCGGACGGATCGGATTAACGAGGAAATTTCCTTTTCTGAAAGTGTTGACGCAGAGTTCCCACGTCGTATGGATACGATAGCAAAACACGATGTACAGATAGGGTTAAGCCCCCAAAAATATTGACTGATATTTGGGATGCTGAGGGATGTACATAAACTTTAGAGTCTGTGGTGTAAAAGGTAAGCTCTTCAGCTTAACACACAAACGATTTGAGTTTGAGTTCATTTCTCGTGGGAGGAAGTCTAATCAAATGTCTCCGTCTTTTTACTAGGATATCATATCCCTCTGTTCCTTGGTTGAATGAATCATCCCAGCTGTAAAAAATCTAAAGTGGGTTATTGGCGGGTGCTCTGATGTGGTTTGCTTCTTCTTTCCGATCAAACATCTATCGTCCTTATCTTCCCTTAACTTCTAATGTCCTTATCTCCCCTTCTTCTTTTTTATGTTTGTTACTCTCTTGTAACACCTCTAATCTTCTGGCGCTCATATGACCTTATGCAGATGCGAGTGCCGTAACACCTCTACTAAAACTAAAAAGATTTAAATTGTGTCAGTGGAGGTGTAAAACCTTTACAGTTACTTTGCAACGAGCGGGAACAATGAGAGAAGCTGATCAAAACGGCTTGCTGTCTGTTAAGGTTGTTTTTGTTGGGTTTTTTTGTCCCTTGCCCATTTCTGTGACATTGACGCCGTCTGATTAGTAGAAAAATGTGCGTATGATGTTGCCCTATAATGTATAACATACATAATTGTTATAACATATAACTGTTACATATAGATGTTCAAAATAATTATAGCTGATGTTTGTGAAGAATCTGAGAGCAATGATGATTTTAGAAATGATGGTGGTGGTGGTGTTAAGTGATGATGTGGGATGATGTTTATGTATATTATTATAATTATTAAGAAGACATGCTTCTGTTAGTTGGTTTAAAAAAAATAAAAAATTGATTTGAAATAATGTTAGCGTTAATCCTATCTTCCTCTGCTCTGATGAGTCACGAGGAATGTAGGCACCTGCTATCCCGTTCCCTACTGGAACCGTCTTTAATGTCACCGTGAAGTTCCGAAATGGTAGGCACAGTGTCTGCTAATGTGGCATTGTTAGTGATAGCCTATTCTAGCGGCCCAAGACAAGTGAAGACTGGACCTTAGTAGGTGTGTTAAGGTTACTAGCACCAGCTTCACGTTACTCTATGAGTGAAGAGAGACAAAGACTGTTTTCCTGATCTCAGCAAGTTTTCTCCATGCTCCCCCCCAGTCCCTTTGGGACAAACTTACAAGATGGATTTCCAGAATGCTTTTGATTCTTGTGTGCCTGGAAAGATGAAATTGTCTAATGTAGTGGTTTCTTTATAGTTTTTTTGCAGGGTTACATTTGGTCGCTTTTAAGCACAAGGGGGCTATCCCGAAAAATGTTGTTTTGAGAAAATCGAAGGTAACGTTTTTGCCCCTTGTTCAGTTTCTTTAAAAGACAAGAAGAGTTTTCTCTTTAACCAAACAAATATACACACCAGTGAAACCAAACTTCTCCTATAGGTAGGGCAATGCCAACTTTTTGTGTAGGTCAGGATTTTTGGAAATCCCGGAAATCTGGGTTGGCCCGCTTGTCCTTAAAAGCGACCATTTATCATGTGAAGTGTACTTGATCATTTAATTCTTTTGAATATGAAGAGTATAACAGTCTCTCCACATAACTCATGAGCCTCATGATCACTGTGATCTCACACACAGAAAGGAATTTACTTATGAAATGTCTCCGCTCAGCACAGTTGAATTGGAAATGGTTTTTACCATCATCATCATCATCGTCATCGTCATCATCATCATCATCATCAAGTGCCAGATCTACAGTAGACGTCGGCGATCATGGTTCTCCATTCATTATTTTGCTCAGGTGCTCTTAGCCCTATTCGTACGCCCTGGGGTCATTTTGTACCCCTGGGGTTGTATTTTTCACTTTTTAAAATACTTCTAGTGCGAATATCTCTTTGAAATTTTCAGTATTTCTCAAAAAATCATTTTGACAGACTATTATGCAAAACGTATGATTCAGATCAACGAGTAAATTTCCGCTTTGGAAAGCCTCCATGATTAAAAGCTCAAAAGATGTACATTTTCTGTTCCCACTGACTCTCAGGCTAAGGAAATAACTCTTCTTTGGCTGCCATTTTCTCACTAGATTTACCCCTGAAACCAAGTGACCCTCACCTCCTTCATTAGCAAATATTTTGACTTCTGTTCAAGATAAATGGATATTTTTTTCATCCAAAGCAAGACAAATGAACAAGTTTTCAGATGACACCAATAACTCTACATGCCCAAAAATTGACGAGAGCCTGATTCCACTGTGTCATGACACCATATTTTGTTAGTCTACGTTTTGACGTTTCTGTTTTTCTGGGGTCCCAGTGGGCGTATTTAATTTTGTTTGTTAAACTTTGTCAATTTGTTGGAGATATATTTTTCCTCACACTTGTGATGGGACGAAATTTTTTACATCCCTCTCAAAGCATGGTTACTAATTTCTTTTTGACTGCCGTTATCTTAATGTATCATTTTACAAAACTTCCTTTGCCCAAATCACTTTACTATCTGTGATCTCTCCCCACGGTTTTATGCAAAAAAAAAAAAAAAAAATGAAATTATGAAAAATGTGAAATTTTACGATTCTGTTAATTTTAACAAAGAATGATAAAGGAAAATAGTCAGAAATTATGCACACAAAAAAAGATCAATTTTTTTTAAATTATGCGGGGTGCATAAATCCCCGGGGACAGTGTGATACAGTCAGGAGCATGGCACAAAACTTTGTTGTACTTTGTTCTCTTGTACGGTATAAAACGGATAGCTCAAATTTGTCGGGACCAGCCTTTGTAGTTTGAGGGATCCATAAAACGAGGGATAACTTGCTAAGATCAGGAAGAAAAAAAAAACGGGACCGCAGGCACACTTCGATGGATGTGTGATTTCTTCGAGTGTTCTGTGTTCGAACTGTCTGTATTATACATGTACTGTAGTTTGTCTGGGGTGGATTCCGAACGTGAATTGCATCGTTAAGTCTAATTCGTCAAATTCTAGTCGATATCAACGGGTTTACATGCCTTGAGGGCTGCCATTTTCTCATTGTAATTTTGTATGCAAATTTGAGAGAAGCCGTGGTAAGTTGTATCGCTATCATTTCTATCAGAATGCAAAGTGTGGGTGGTTGGTGGGTGCTCTGGTGTGGTTTGCTTCTTCTTTCCTATTAAATGTATATCGTCCTTATCTCCCCTTCTCCTTTTTTATGTTTGTTACTCTCTTGTAACACCTCTAATCTTCTGGAGCTCATATGACATTAAGCAGTTATTGCGAGCACAGTAAAACCTCCACTAAAACTAAGAATGCAAAGTCACATTGATGTTAAACTGGACCACACATGGACTGTAACTTTCTGTGTAAGTGTGTTGAGTTGAGAAGAAAGTGAATAGGCTACCCCTTTGGTAATGAATATATTGCATGTATGTCTAATGGGGAAAATGCGAGTATATTGCACGTATGTCTAATGGGGAAAATGTAATACAAAGAAGAAGGTTTTGAATTTCAGAATTGTCATGTGAATTGGTTGAGTCTTTGCGAGTCCCACGTGATGGTGTGTGTGTTTTTTACTTCCTGCTTTTTATTCTATTAATAAACCGGTACTGGGTGATGTTTTTATTCATACATACCTGTCCCCGTCGTTTTATGCAAGAAAAATTCTGAAATTATGCAAACTGAGCCCAAAAATGTGAAATTATGCGATTCTGTTAATTTCGCCAAAGAATGATAAAGGAAAATAATCAGAAATTATGCAAAAAATGATCAAATTTTGCTAAATTATGCGGGGTGCATAAAACTACGGGGACAGACATACATATCATAATCTACTTTGTGTTTTGTGCATGCCTAGATTTTGATATGAATGGGATGGATGATATTGTAAAAATGAAGTTATCAATTTCAAATAAAGTATTTATGCTTGAAGAAGCAGCTAGCATCTTGTGTGTGCTCACATATTTATTATGTATTCACAAACATCCAGATTTTGTTTCTGTGATTGTGTGTGTGTGTGTGTGTGTGTGTGTGTGTGTGTGTGTGTGTGTGTGTGTGTGTGTGTGTGTGTGTGTGTGTGTGTGTATGTCCTCTTGTGTGTGGGTGGGTGTGTGTGTGTGTGTGTGTGTGTGTGTGTGTGTATGTGTGTGTGTATGTATGTATGTGTGTGTGTGTGTGTGTGTGTGTGTGTTTATGAATGTGTGTGTGTGTTTATGAATGTGTGTGTGTTTTTATGAATGTGTGTATGTGTGTCTATGTGTGTGGTTGTGTATGTGCACAGGCATTGTATGCGTCATATTGAGTGTTCCTGTTTTAATGTGAGTTTACTTTTCGTTACGTGGGAGTACATAGTGACAGGGACAGGGAGTTTTTTGTTAATCTTCTGATGTTGTCTGCTCCGTTTACATCTTCCCGAGTCCCGAGGGTCCTAATCAGCTTCCTCCAAAATGTTGCTTACCCCCCGAGGCAGTGCTACTGACTGAAGTGTCTTTAGGCCATTCCCAAATACGGGGTGCCCACTACGGACGGGATCAGCCGATCGGGGTCGATCGCCCAACACGATCGCTCAAAAACAAACGTGTTTGTTTTCAGTTTCAGGCGATCGAGTCGGGCGATCGGCTCGATCCAGCTGTAGTGGGCACCCCGTATAAGGGGGGACACATCTCGTTCAAGCATAGTAGAACTGTAAATGGGCTGAATCATGTCACGCTCATAACTGTGCCTGATCTACAACAGGGAACTGCTGCTTTTTCTTTCCTGATCCTTACTATTGTCATTTTCCTCTTCTCTTCTTTTGTATGTTTGTCACTCTCTTGTGACCTGCTATTTTGGGGTGCCTTGATTGTCGAAGCACGACCTTGTGCTGTTGAAGCTAGTGAGGTGAGCAGTCTAAGTCTGATTACCTGTGAAGACTTTTCTGTTGACACCCACCCCTTGGCGCTCATATGACCTTATGCAGTTGCGAGCGCCGTAAAATCCTCTACATGTACTATTTAAAAAAATAAAAATATTCACAGTAAAATTGTAATTGTAAATGGACTGATTCATCAATGTCATGCTCATAACTGTGCCTGAACTGCAACAGGGAACTGCTTTTTCTTTCCTAATCCTTACTATCGTAATTTTGTCCTCTACTTCTTATGTATGTTTATCACGCTCTTGTGACCCGCTATTTCCGGTGTGCCTTGATAGTCGAAGCAGGCTTCGTGCTGTTGAAGATAGAGAGGTAAGCAAAGTAAGTCTGATTCCCTGTAAGGACTTGTCTGTTGACATCCACCCCTTGGCGCTCTTATGACCGTATGCAGTTGCGAGCGCCGTAAAACCTCTACTATAACTAAAACACATAGTGACAGAGTTTCTTGTTAACCCTCTGATGTTGTCTGCTCCTTGTACATCTTCCCGAGAGCCCCCGAATTTTATTTCCTGTGATCCAAGTGTCCTGATGGGGGGCTTGGTGCTCAGATTTGGAAGAAAGTCATCAACAGAAGCAACAACAATGCTTCTTCTTTCCTTTCAAACATCTATCGTCCTTATCTCCCTTCTTTTTTATGTTTGTTACTCTCTTCGCGCTCATATGACCTTATGCAGTTGCGAGCGCCGTATAGCCTCTACTAGAACTAAATAACATAAAAAACATCATCATCATCATCATCATCATCATCATCATCATCATCATCATCATCATCATCATTGTATAAAGAAGGTATTAAAACAGTTAAGATCTTGTTGTATTTCCAAAAAAAAATATTTTTCACATCATCATCATCAACAACAGCAGCAACAACAGCAACCCAACAACATCAACAACGAAAACAACAATAACATCATTATTCATAGCATAATGATCAATAACGACAACAATAAGGATAACTTTCTTGAGCTAGGCACGCTTTATCTTCAAACAGACGAATGAGAGAAAGTTCAGAAAGGAGCTATAAAACTCGACTAAAGTTTGAATTTAGTCATCGTTTTATTTTATCTTTTTTGAAATTCAAAATCACTTAGCTGATTATTTCACCGCTCTGGTGTGGTTTGCTTCTTCTTTCCTATAAAAAATCCATCGTCTCTATCTCCCCTCCCTCTGTTTTGTGTTTGTTACTCTCTTGTAACACCTCTAATCTTCTGGTGCTCATATGACCTTATGCAGTTGCGAGCACCGTTAAACCTCTACTAAAACTCGCCATTGCTCGCAGAAGAAATGAGTTCCAGCTTCTCGTGGGTGGAAGTAATAATTATATTGGTTTATCTCCGTCTGTCTGCAGGAATGCTGTATCCCAGATCCAGATCAGGGTCGCAGTATCTATTCGGAGACGTCTCCTACGGAGATAGACCAATCAAATTTGTACCTCAAGACCAAGTTTAAAAAAATCAGGGGGGTTACAGGCGGGGGGGGGGGGGGGGGCATGCCCTGTATTAACCCACAATTTGCTATTTTGCAGTTAGATTTGATATTTTCTTGAAAATAATTGATTTGCGACAGTTTTAGTGGCTATGTGTGTGATCTGCAGCAAATAATACGCAGTTTGCCCCCCCCCCCCCAAAAGAAAAAAAAAGCCGTGCATCTGTGTGGGAGAGTGCGTCTCCGAATAGCTCCTGGGTGCTCGCCGGAGACGTCTCCGAATATCTTCTGCCGATCAGGGTTGTTGGCCGTGACAGGCAGGGCTGAAGCAGTTCGCCTCCTCTCCAAAATGAACAAAATCATGTCATGGGAGTTGGGAGAGGGGAGGGCAGGGAAAAAAACCCACATCATCAATTAGTCAGCACGATTGATTTCAACACATTTGAGGTGAGATTATAACAGAGAATCGAGTTAGAACAATTAGACTGACAGCGTTGTTTTATCATAGTGGTGGATTTTGCGTGTGCGCGTAGGCTGTGATGTTTTGCGCTCGCCTCTGTTCTCTCGAGCTGTTTTCTTATGAGCTTTTGTCATCCGGTGCCTCATCACGTCAAAGTCAACAACACACGGAGGCCTTTGATCGTCTTCTGCTCCCATCAATGTCTGGGGATAGAAAAGACACTTATACGGGTGCCCACTACGACTCGGTCGCCTAAAAAACAAACGTGTTTGTCTTCAGTTTCAGGCGATCGAGTCGGTCGTGGCGGGCGATCGGCCCGATCCAGCCGTAGTGGGCACCCTGTATTCTGTCACCGTGGTTTTATGCCCACCGCATAATTTAGCAACATTTCATCATTTTTTGCACAATTGCTGATTATTACATCTGATTATTATCATTCTTTGTTAAAATTAACTGAATCGCATAATTTCACATTTTTGGGCTCAGTTTGCATGATTTCAGAATTTTTCTTGCATAAAACAACGGGGACAGTGTTTTACATTAACATAACTACTCTCAGCTACATTAGTATTGTACTTCGTCTCCCCTCTTGTAGAGTCTTATAAATCTCTTGTAGAGTTGGAGGCTACAGCGAGTCAGCTCGAAAGCGGTTACGTTTCGTTCGGGAATGATTAGGACTAAAGTGATACAGAACAAAATTCATTTTTCATTGTTTCAGGAAGAAACATCCCTGCATTCCGGACATGTCCATTGATGCTCCGTTGCTCTCTCCAAAATGTCGCCGAGGGTCTTTCCACTGATGTGATTGTATCAGTGCATATCTGGTTGAACGTTCTTCTGTTCTTTCCTGCAAGGATACCAGATTTTCCGCTTCCTTTTTGTATTCCCCAAAACATCATCCTCTCCACAGCAGTACTGGCCTCTGCCTCCCTATCTTCCTCCTCAATCAGCTGACGAGAGAGACATTTCAGGATCTTGACCCTATCTGGTTGAACCGTACTGTCAACTGAAGAAATATCCAGTCTGTTGGCTACCGAACAACCCCCCCCCCCCAAAAAAAAAAAAAAACCACAACAAAACAAACAACCTCAACCCCCCCCCCAAACAAACAACCCAAAGCTTGGAAGGAGCCAGAACTACTAACCACCCAGGGTAGCGGCTCTCTTGATCAGGTTTCGACAATCCGTGAACAGACGAAGGTCAATAATGGCGCTCATATGACCTTATGCAGTTGAGAGCGCCGTAAAACCCTCTACTATAACTAACTAGATCGAGTAGAAGGTCAATGTTCTGGCGTCTGCTTTCGTTTCCACTTTCTGCCTCCACCTCTCACCTCCTTTACCCCCTCCTCTGGGCTCCTGACTCTTTCTGCAGCCTTTCTACTGTCACTCCCTGGCTCATTCTTACTGCTGTCTTTCAGCCTCACCCCTCATCTTATGGTAGGACAGATTTACTTCCAACCTTCTAGGATAAGGGCGAAAAATCGCATAGGTCCCGTGTGCAAGTTGAACACGTTAAATACCCCTTTGTGGTCTAAAATCGATAAGAGTAGGCTTCGACCCCTATCCGGGCAAAATTCAAAATTTCTTACCAATTAAAAATGTTTAATGTGTCCCACGCGCTCATATGACCTTATGCAGTTGCGGGGATAACGATAAATAGGCCAGGGTGGGTTCGAATGCGGGATTGAAAGGGAGAGGGGGAGGGGAGAGGGATTGTCGGTGAGTCAAATTTACAAGTCCCAAGTCTCCAGTGAGGCGTGCAAAAACACAAAATGACTTGAAAATAAACACACGCACACACGAACAAAGAAATCAAAATGTCTTCAGATTTTGTGAAGTGCAAATATGTGCACAGAATGCTTACTCTCAATAGATCTACTGTACAGATACGGACATCTCTACTCTATTCCTCGTGTTCTCTGATGGGGGATTGGGGCGGGGCAGTGTGTGTCTTCTTCTTCTTCTTCTTCTTCTTCTTCTTCTTCTTCTTCTTCTTCTTCTTCTCTCCTACTGGCCGCCATTTTCACATTTAGATGTGGAAGAGGAGCAGGAGGATGAGGATATTCGTAGTAGCAGAGGAAGCAGCGACAACTGAAGAAGGAGGAGACGAAACAGAAAGATGAAAAGAAACAGAAAAATGAGAAGAAACACCCACCTTTACAATCTCCAACTTATCCTGGATGTCCTGCAGTCTCCTCCATCTGTCCTTCTTTGCGTCCTCCAACCTCATAGCTAGCGGTCTGGTGTCGTAGAGATACCTACCTTCGTGGTCCAAGTACGCTCGTGGGTCGTCAGGCCAAAGCAGACGATAGGCTAGAGCCTCGGCGCGATTCTGTGGCCGATTTTCTGGCAGAAGTCGGATGCAGTGCGGGACGGAAGTACGTGTCTGCTGCCTGCGCAAGGAGATCACTCCGTCAACGTACGCCATTTGGAATCTCTAAGGAGTTCAAAGTCGGATCCTGCAACGGAGTATTAAAAAAACCCCAATAATTGGAAGTCGGATTTTATTAAGATTTTAAAGATAACTCTTCATCTTTACTTACTTTACTTTATTCTTCCGCTTGTACCGGTGAGTGTCGCGGGGAGACACAGGCGTCTGTCTGAAGCAAGGCGAGTGGCCTGTAGGAGGGACATCCCGTGAGAACTCTTCATCCACTTGACATAATCCTCTCGGAGTAGACGTTCAAACTGGGGTCGATCTCAGAAACAACTTAAAACCCTATATGTACGTCATGTTTTACTATCGTATCCATACGACGTGGGGAATTCTGTGCCTCCACTTTCCAAAGAGGAAATTTACTCGTTAATCTGATCCGTACGCTTTGCATAGCAGTCTGTTAAAATAATTTTTTGTGAAAAACTGAAAGTTTCAAAGAGATCTTCGTACTAGAAGTATTCTAAAATGAGAAGAATAGAATCCTGGGGCTACACATTGGCCCCAGGGCGTACGGATAGGGTTGAGAAGAGATTATTAATCTCCTCTAAAGTCATTTGAAACTGGGAATCTGCTACATCTAAAAAGGGTGGTCCTAGGCAACAGGACACTTTAAAAAATCTGAAATAATTATACCTTTTGTAAAAGAAATCTTTTGTCGTATGTTGGGAAGAAAATGAGAGATTCCGAGTGGGTGGTAGGCGGGTGCTCTGGTGTGGTTTGCTACTTCTTTCCTATCACACATCTATCGTCTTTATCTTCCCTCCTTCTTTTTTTGTATATATTTGTTACTCTATTGCAACATCTATAATCATCGGCACTTATATGACCTTATTGTGTTACAAGTGCTCTTACTAAAAGCTATAGATTCACCTTAAAAAAAGCGAACCCCCCCTTCTCCCCCCCACAAACATCAGCAATAACACCAACAGAGGACAAAGCATAAACGAGGCGAAGATGCATAAAATAAGACTTGCGTCTTTGAATTGGGATGCTCAGTTTGTACACGGTTTCAGACTGCCCACAAAACTAAGAACTTCCTCTGGGGGTGAGTAGGATCCCTGTCGCCATTGCATTCAATTTGAAACCTCTTTTCATTGGCGAAGTCCATCAAACAACTGTACCGTACGACG